ACTCTTGGCTGGAGGAGAGAGGGGTGAGCTGGGCTTTCAGGGCGGTGACGGAGGCGGGGACGACGGGGTCGTCGTTCTCCTCGTCCGACTGCCTGAATTCAGGGTACATATCCGTCTCCTCCACGAAGGGGAAGCCCTCGATCCGCCGCGTCTTCAAGGAGGGCTCCATCTCCGCCGGGTCCATGACGAAGCGGCCGTCGGGCCCGCGGCTGATGAGCTCGATGGGCGTGGTGGCCTCGGCTTCGGCCTCCGCCTTGGAGACGCTGTACTTCTTGCTGCTGATGGCTCGCTTGGTCTTCTTGTAAAGAGAGAGCTCCTTCTCCTTGGTGGGGCTGAGCATCCGCTTGGCCTGCGGACCCTGGTCATCAGAGGACTCCGAGGGGGGACGGAGCGTGCGGATGCTCTCAGGACTCACCTTGCCGGAAGACAACCTGGACCACAGAGGAGAAAAACCGAAAGGGGACGGTCACCCAGAGGAGAAAGGAGGTCTTCTCGCCCAAAACAGCAGCCAGATGGATTCAGAACACAAAGTGCTACCAGCTCTCAAAAGAGGAACCACTGGGGCAAATCTGTTGGGGCTAAGCAGACGGCACAGTCTTGCCCAGGCACGGCACAGGCCAGAGGACCAGCAGCAGTGTACATCACCCCTGCTCCGCAGGAGCAGAGCTCAGCACGCTCTGCATCCCACCTTGCAGCAAGCTTTGAAGCCCCAGAGGGATGTAAGACAGATCCAGAGCTCACTTCCAGCTCCTTTATACGTTTCCTATGTTCACCTGAGCTACCCATGTCTGGGAGAGGCCCTGAGAGGAGGGACATCAGGCAAACATCCCTCCTGCAAAGCTCAGCATCTCACCTGGAGATGCTGACTGATCAATTCAGACCAACTTTTCCCCGCCTTCTCAACACCTCAAGCTGAGAGCATAAGGCAGAGAGCATCAGAATAATTCACTCATCCCTATCCAGATAGCCTCGGACAAACAGGATTGAAAGGCAAAAGGTAGCAGATCCAACAGTGACAAGTGCAGGCATCATAATTTCAGTGTAGTGGACAAACCAAAAAAAGCAGTATTAAGATCCACCAGGACCACGATGTTTTGCAATGGTCCAGCAGCCAAAGCATGAAGCGTCCACATCTCACACACTTGTGTGTATCAGTGCTTTTGATGGGCTCTGCAAGGAGCTGTGGCTACTGCAGCACCACCATCCACCACCTTTGTGCACACGCAGGAAGAGGCTTCCGTGGGGCACTCTTCATGGGAAGAGATACAGGTGTAAGATTCTTGGAATTTCCCAAGAAATAGCAGAGTCAACAGAGAGCAGCCCAAAAACTACACTGAGCTTGCACAGAAGGACTCAGTACACAGCAAGCTAGCCCTTCTCTTAAGGAGCCCATTCAAGACGGGTGTGTAATTGAGTACCAGCAGCCAACTCCAGCTTTGGTCCACATCCACCAATCCAACAGGGTCACTTCTCAGCTTAAAGTTTGCTGCTTTTGTCCCTGCTGCTTTCTGCTCCACAGCCCGTTTGTCTCTTGTGAACTGTCGCGTTCCCACAAGTTCAGGGAACACCCAGAACTCATCAGAAGCAACCAAACAAGGCCAGACATTTCCATTTGAGCCTTGCAGCAGCTGTAGGAAGGAGGCACCTCGAAGACCCACAGCACGGTGCCACATCTAAGACAGATACTTACGGGGACTCCAAACTCTTCCTGCAGTGGGTTATCGAGAGAGGAGGGTCTGGAAGAGAATAAAAAGGGGAAAGAAGAGAGAACGCTAAGGAGGCGCAACACGACAGGGACAAGACAAACTCAACATCAAGACAACAAAAGACACTCAACAAGAGGCCAAGGTTTCATTGCTCCAGCGCTTTAATGTTTGCTGACAACAAACAGCTCCCGTCACAGGGTCCTGCCCGTCCTGCTGCCACAGCCTCGCAGGCTTGAGGAGAAGGAGCCGACTCCCCTGCCCTCTCCAGCTCCCCAGCCACCCTTTTCCCTACGGCCGCTCCTGCACGGCGGCTGCAGCCCCAGCTCTCAGGAAGCAGAGCGGCAGGGTCTCCTTTGCAGGGGGGTCTTCTCTAGCCTAGAGTGGCCGGCGGGGCCCGCCCCCTCCCCGTCGGGCACTGCCCGCTCCAGGCTGGGCAGGAAGCAGCTGGCGAGCCCAGCTCCAGGGGGGTCTCGAGGAGGTGAGCAGTCCTCCCTGTCTGGGGCCCAGAGGACCCCCCAGCCCTAACCCCCCCAGCTCCAGGAGTTATCACCACGCGGGAGCGCTCCCTCGGGAATCCCAGGCTAGTTTCTGTGTCGCCTCTTCACCCACCCTGCCTCTCCCGCTCCCGACCACGGGCGCTTTCAGGCACAGCCGAGGGATGAAGTCAGGGCTTCACCTGAGGACGCGCTCGGACGGAAGAAGAGACAGACAGGGAAGAAGGTTACCACCACAACACAGCCAGGGAGGAGGAACGAGGAGGAGGAAGGAGGGAGGGAGAGAGGGAGGGAGCACACTGGGGACGGGCTCACCTTTCTTGCGCTTGAGCTTGCGTTTGCGTTGCTTGTTGACGAAGCAGGCGGCGAGTGTGCTGAAGAGGATGGCAGCAGCCAGGAAGCAGATGGTGGCAACGATGCCAGCCAGCACTGGGCGGGCTAGACCCTCGTCTGTCAGATCAGGCTGAGGGAATACGTCTGGGGGACAAACCACAACAATCAGGTGTTAGGCACGCAGCCCTCCCTGCCGCCTTCCCCAGGGACCTACTGCAGTGTGAGGGCGAGTGGTATCAGAGATGATAATCCCCAAATAAAGACCCTCCTTCCAACCCACCCCACCTGGGGAGAGCAGTCGGCCTCTGCTGAGGGATTTAGCAACCTTGCACCACACAAAACTTTTTGCCTTAACTGGGGAGAAGCCTCCACGCCACACAAGTCCACATTTATGTACAAGAGCATACAACTGCACCAAACCTGCAGTCACCTCCCAACCCAACAAGCCGCTGCAGCTCAGGCTGTAGCAGCACAAGGCATTTTCCCCTGTGCATCGGTACAACATACTTCATCTCTTCAATGAAAACTAGGCTCTGAACCCTCGTGACACCCCTTCGCTGGCCACAAGTGCATCCCAGCTCCCAGCAGATCTCAGCCACGGCCACACGTGGATGCAAGCCCTGCACAGAGCAGCACTCCCACAGGCACAGCCAGCCCTGGAGCACCGGCTGTCAGCCTGGGAGGGCAGCTCAGCACACCCTGCGGGCACTGCCAAACCTCATCAGGAAAACTGTGCGAGAGGATGAAGGGCGGGGAAGCAGGCAGGCTGCAGCAGGCAGCTCTCTGCACCGCGCTGGTACCACTTGGGGGCAGAGAGAGACTGCTGCATCCATCCCTGCATGCAGCAGAGCTGGGTGGCTCCGCGGATTTTCCATAAAAGCCGGTTTCCCCTGTCTCTTCCTGCTGCCACCACCACCTCCTTGCCCTCCCCACCACCATCACGGACCTCTTGCCTGCACCTCACTCGAGGAGCATCCTCCGAGCTGGCCCAGGGTGCCGGCTACGCACGCAAGCTGCAGGGTGTTGCAGTCTCCTGTTGCAAAGCTTTTTTTTCCCCTTGGACTCTGCACTGCAGTGCTACGTTTCCCTCTCTGCACCTTCCATTCCCATTTCCGGGCTGTGCAGCTCCTGGCCAGAGCTTTGTTCCCCGGGAATACTGCAGAGCCAAGATGTGCTGCACCAGCCCACGCCCGACAGCTCCTCACTCCACAGGAAGGGTGAAACAGGGCCCCTTGTCCTCGCTTGCTGGTCTTCTCACAGCATGCCCAGGACACTGACACTAATCCTGTCCCCATCAGCCCAGCTCACAACCCAAGCAGCTTGGGCCAAAGCACAAAACCAGCCGCTGCTGCTGTAAGCAAGTCCTGATGCATGATGTGCCCGCAGAAGCAAAGATGCTCCCACAGCTGGGGTAGAAGAAAGAGCCACCCTTTACCTGTACTGGAGACACCAGCAACGTTGCTGGGTTCGCTGATGAGATCCTGCATGACCGCCAGGACCCGGAACTCGTACCAAGTGTCCTGAAAGGCCAAGCACATCTGTCAGGACCCTCACCGCAGCCTCCAACCTTGCCCAGCTCCTTACACACCTCAGCATGGGGAAAGGAGCCACCCCAAAAGCTTCCCCAGAGCCACATCAGATGGCGCAAGACCAGAGGTATGGCACGTGCAGTGGCTGCTCACCTGGGACAAGTCCTTGGCAAAAAACTCGTTCTCTGTCCCAGGGATGCCATCGTCCAAGATCTCCCACCTCTCGGCGATGCGGAACTCCATGATGTAGCGGTCGATGGGGAAGCTGTGGTTAGCAGGAGGAAGCCACGACAGGAGGACGCCTTGCTGTGTCCGGTTGGCTGTTAGGCACCTCGGTGGGGTAACCAACACCAGAGGCTCTGGAGTTGTTACAGGGAATGCTGGGGACAGAGCAGATGGGACAGGACACCTTTGAGGATGCAGGTCTGCAGATGGACCACCCCAGCAGCAGCAGTTCCCACCTTCCAGGGGTTAAGGGCACCTCTCAGGCATGTGGTCTCTTATCTCAGAGATACAAAAGTGGCTTTCCAAAAAGCAGGGGACTAATAATGCAGTGACTCCAAGAAAAGGGGCACAGAGTTAAAAAACCTCCTGCTTCCCCCCTCCTCTGCTCAAGACAGCCCTGAGGCAGGTACCAGCGCACGGCCCTTTGTGTGAGCTCCCGCTCTGAGCCACACACAAGCGATTTTGTGCTCTATTAATACCTCCTGACCCCAACTGAACCTAAGGAAGATCTGTACCAGGTGACTGGTACAGTACAGCTCTCCCACGCTGTCTCTTAGGACAAGCTTTCAGGAGCCTCCAGCAAAGTCTACAAGCTTCATCCAGGACCCTCCACAAGCTATCTGCTACCTGGCTGGAAGCCACTGCTGCTGATCACCGTCTCCATCCCCAGCAGACACGACACAGTGACCAAGGCAAAGGGCTGCTTCTCCCCACAGGTCTCCCGAATCCCTTCCCTCTCCTTCCCTCGTGCCCACAGAGGACCTACCTAGAGTGTTCACAGTGACCACCTCACTGAAGGAGCTGGTACCCAGCTTGTTTTGAGCCAAGACGCTGAACTGGTACGCAGTCTCCGGTTCCAAGGTATCCACCAGTAGCCAACTGGAACCAGCTGGCACAGGAAGAGACAGCCAGTCATGGGGGCCAAACTGGGCTCTCTTCATCCTGCCAAGAGAAAAGGGAGTATCCTCAGGGAAGGTGCATTCGACAGGGAGAACAGAGGCAGCATTAACTTCTGGAGTAAAAATGGAGCTTTCCCGAGTGATGGTTTGGTTTGACAGCAGCGATGTGGATGGACGTGGGGCAGCCACTTGCCACCCAAGAGCTGGCTGGTGGGTGGTGCACACAAGAACTGCCAGGCACAGGGCACCATCCCCTTGTGCCACACCAGCATCCCCCAGGTCACATGGCCATGGCCACCAGCCCTCTCCTCTGCTGTACACCAGCTGCACCCTCTGAGCAGGGTCAGGGTCAAAAGCAGTGCCAACAGCCCCACTCTGAGGTCATCTCCATCAGATTCCCTGGGCAAAAGTGGAAGCTGGCACATCTGCACTCTGGTGAGTGCTGCAAAAGGGAGGGCTGGAGCAGGAGACAGGCCCTGTTCCCATTTATACCTCGACAGCCCCCGAGCAAGAGCCAAGTTTTCCCTCAGCTCTAGCCCTGTACATGCAATCCCACAAGAAACATTTAACTAAATCACCATTTTTGCCATATTTGCACAAGTTATGCCCAAGGCCTAACTCAGGGTTTGGCAGTGCAGCAGAGGCACTCACGGGGAGTGTGGGACACAGACTTTCTGCTGAGGTCTAACCCACAAACCCAGGGTGAAAAAGACTCCCACAGCCATCCCAGTGTGACCCCAGCACATGTGGGCATGCAGCCACCTCCACAAACCATAACCCTGCTGGAAAAAGCCCCATGTCCCAGAGCAGAATCACTGTGCCACAACCATATTGTAAGTATCAGTGTTTGTGATAGAGAGATGCTCTGGGGAGTCCCAGCCCTCGGCTGCAGGTTTTGGTGGTATCCACAGAGGATTTGGGATGGACTACTGCAGTCAGTCTACTCTGCACAGCTAAGCAGGCCTATCTGTAGCCACTACATTCACCCAGGTAAATTCATGGAGTAGGAAATAAAAGGTGGAGCAAAGACAAATAACACTGCTATAAAGGGAGCAAAAGGTGAGGCAGGAGAAGCAGCAGCAAGCTATGGAAACAAGCAAGTCAGTGGAGAGCCATGCACAAGTGGCCATGGGCAGGAAAGCCTCTGTATCACCGCAGCTCCAGCTGGGACTACAGCTCCTGGGTCCCTCCCTACCACAGCAGAGGCATGGAGGGCACCAGAGCAGCCCATCCTCCCAGAGGGTTTCCCTGGGGCACTTAAACCCCACTACCTTCACACCCCTTCTCCCTGGCACTGCTGCAGGAGGCACGCAATGGCAAGGGGCTGAGCGTGGGGAGAGCAGAGGGTCAGTGTGACACTGGTCACCCCCAGGGATGGGGGATCACCCGGGGAGGGGGGGTTTGCACTTCCAGCATCCACAACCACAGAAGCAGGAGAAGAGCATGTACTCCACAGGAGGTGAAGCCACGTTTCACTTGAGCATCCCATAACTGCGGCAGGGAGGAAAAGGCATGGACAGACAGCTCTGTGGATGGACTAGCTGACTGAGCACCACCTCAGATCCCTGCTCCCAGGGAGCAGCACAGCCCTCGGGGCTCACACCCTACAGTCAGGGCAAGACAGGTCTCTGTGCCCCTGTCCCAACTCCCCCCAGCATCCTGCAAATTCCTGAAGGCAAGCTCGGTGCAAGCAGCCTTCCCTTGCCACGTGGAGGGCCTGGAAAAGCCTCATGGAGGCAGCAACACGGCAGCAGGTTGTGGAGCAAGCGCAGCAGCAGCTGCCCCCTCCTGCCAAGGTGAGCCATGTCCTCAGAGCAGAGAGGCTTCACCACTCCCTCCCAAGGACATCTTCATCAGAGCAAGGTCTGCACTGCTCCTCTTGCTCCATTCCTCCTTCTTTCCATCTCCTGACAGACTGCCCAGCCCCACCCCATGAGTGTCCAGCCTCAGGCTGGAGCAGAGCAGAAATCATTACAGGCAGCATCTACCCTATCTCCACTCTATCAGCAGTCTCCATCAGGACCAATTAAGACAAGGAAGGACAGAGAACAAGAAGAAAGGCTGAAGAATGCCAGCCCAGGCCTGGGAAGGGAATGTGTCATCCCCTCCACATTTCAGAAGAGGAAGCCAAGAGCAAGTGGAGAGCCTAAAGATGGCTCTTTAAGTCGGATGCACCCACTGGTTTTGGCTACCAGGTAGAACAGGCTGGCACAGGAGTGATGGGAGCAAAGCCCCATGAGGCTCAGACCCAGCCAGCATCTCACGGTGGCTGGTTGTGAACCCAGCTGGGATTTAACCACCTCCAGGGAGCCAGAGAGCAAGGAGAGATCATTTCTGCTTAGTCACAGCTCTTCCAGGACACACTCTATAAAGGTTGCATTTTCCATCCTCTCCCTGGCTGTTAAGCTTCATAAACAGTTTATCTTGAAATTAGATGCCAGAGGCAAAGCTACACCAATGCAAAGCGTCTGCCTCGTACCGTAAGCAGAATAAAACCTGCTGGGGCAGACAGAGGTACTGGCTCGCACAGTAGGGAGAGGAGACATGGGAACCACATGATCCCACCACCATCCATCTCTCCGAGGCTCAGCCCCATAACGCCCACAGGCACTGAGCCGGGCACGCCACCCTCACCACCCTCCTCCTCCCCCCAGCTGCTCGAAGCTCAGGTCGGCTAGGAAGGAAAAGAAGCAGAGAGCAAAAGCATGCCGGGATGACTCACAGAGGGCCGTACCAAACTGAGAAAGTCTGCTCGTATCCACCGTCGTAGCCGGGCTCCCAGGAGACGTTGGCTGAGGTCATGGCGGCCACAACGTGCACGCTGGTCGGGGCGTGAGGGCTTGTGCCTGCCGAGAGAGAGCCACGGGTGAAAGGGGAGCAAG